AAAAAAAAAAAATTAAGAATAGAACTACCATATGATCCAGCTATTCCACTGCTGGGTATTTATCCAAAGAACATGAAAACACAAATGCGTAAAGATATATGCACCCCTACGCTCAATGTGGCATTATTCACAATAGCCAAGACCTGGAAACAACCTATGTGCCCATCAAGGGACCAACGGGCAAAGAAGATGTGGTATATATATACAATGGAATACTACTCAGCCATAAAAAAAAGATGAAATCTTGCCATTTGCGACACATGGATGGACCTTGAGGGTATTATGCTAAGCGAAATAAGTTAGAGGGAGAAAGTCAAATACTGTATGATCTCACTCATAAATAGAAGATAACAACACACACAGAAACTGAAATATAATGATGTACACATGAAATTTATATAATGTTTTAACCAATGTTACCTCAATTAAAAAAAATTGTTAAGGCTAAAGCTATTTATCAGTATTCAATTAAAAAAAAAATCTATGAAACCAAATCCTGCAATAAAAACCACTTAAACACTCTAGCCAGATCACAAAACGTTGTGGCACACCCCCTCCCAACAACAACAAAAAAAGTAAAAATGTTCAATTTCCAACTGAAAGAAACCAGATAACAAATTTTCACATTGGTACCAGATAAAATATGATAAATTTGATTTCTTTCAAGGACGAAAGTCTAATAATATAAAAAATAATTAATTTAGAATATCCCCATCATCAAAAACTGACGTATTTTTACGTTAATATAGTTCCTAGCCCAAAGTCAGAAGTCTGTAAGTGTACATAAGTATACAGAAAGTGAGTCATCTTAAGAATAAGCTCAGCATTATTCACAATAGCCAAGAAGTGGAAGCAACCCAAGTGCCCATCGACTGACGACTGAATAAAGAACATGTGGTATATATCTACAATGGAATACTACTCAGCCATAAGAAAAGACAAAATCGTCCCATTCGCAACAACATGGATGGACCTTGAAGGTATTATGTTAAGTGAAATAAGCCAGACAGAGAAAGACAAACACCATATGATTTCACTCACATGTGGAAGATAAACTAACACATGGACAAAGAGAACAGATTAGTGGTTACCAGATGGGAAGGGGGTTGGGCGGTAGGGATAAGGGGTAAAGGGGCACATTTATATGGTGACTGACAAATAATAATGTACAACTGAAATTTCACAATGTTATAAACTATTATTATGACCTCAATTAAAAAAAAAAGAAAATTTGAAACTAATAAACATCTGCATAGCCACCACCCCAAATTCACACACACACACACAAAGTTCAAATATAAAAATAAAAATGAGTAATAAGATCCTACCAGACTGACTCTACTGTGGGAACAACTATAAAATCTGGACATAATACGAAAAGCAATCAAGTTAACAACATAGATGAACAATCAACCAATCACTGGATAAATTCCTTGAAAGACAAATTACCAAAAGAGACTGAAAAAGAAAACTTCAATAACCCGATATTTATAAAGAAATTGAATTTTTTTTGTGTGTGTGAGGAAGATCAGCCCTGAGCTAACATCCATGCCAATCTTCCTCTTTTTGCTGAGGAAGACTGGCTCAGAGCTAACATCTATTGCCAATCCTCCTCCTTTTTTCTCCCCAAAGCCCCAGTAGATAGTTGTATGTCATAATTGCACATCCTTCTAGTTGCTGTACGCGGGACGCCGCCTCAGCATGGCCGGACAAGCGGTGCGTCGGTGGACGCCCGGCATCCGAACCCGGGCCGCCAGTAGCGGAGCACGCACACTTAACTGCTAAGCCACGGGGCTTGCCCCCCGAAATTGAATTTTTAATTAAAAATCTTCCCACAAAGAAAAATCTCAGGCCCAGATGGCTTCATTTGTAAATTGTATCAAACACTTAAAGAGGAAATAATACCGATTCTACAAAAACTCTCCCAGAAAATAGAGGAGGTAACAAGTCCCCATTAATTTTCTGAGGCCATTCATTTTATGAGAGAATCTATATTACCCTGATTCCAAAACTAGACAAAGACATCATAAAAAAAGTACAGGCCAATATTATTCATGAACATAGAGGCAAACATTATTAACATGCTGAATCCAGCAAAAGCCAAGGAATGAAAGGATGGTTTAAAATCTGAAAATCAATGAATAAAATTCACCATATTCATGGAAGAAAAGAGAAAAATCATATGATCATCTCAATAGATACAGAAAAAGCATTTGACAAAATTCAACAACGATTCATGACAAAAACTCTCAGCAAATAGAAATTTTAAAGAACTTCCATAATTTACAGCTAATGTCACATGCAATGGTGAAAGAGCGAATGCTTTCTCCCCTAAAATCAGGAATAACGGAAAGATGTTGGCTCTCACCACTTCCATTCAACATTGTACTGGAGGTCTTAGCACATTCAGAAAATGAACTGAAAGCCTAAAGATTGGAATAACTATCTTTACTCACAGGCAACATGACTGTATATGCAGAAAATCCTATGGAATCCAAAAAGCTACTAGAGTAAATGCATTTATCAAGGTCTCAGTATACAAGATCAATATATTAAAAAAAATCAATTATATTTCTATACACTAGCCATGAACAACTAGAAAATAAAAATTTTTTAAAACTCCATTTACAAGAGTATAAATAATACTTAGGAATAAATTTAACATAAGATATGCAAGGCCTGTCCACTGAAAACTACAACACATTTCAAAAGGAAATTAAAGGAAACCCAGAAGTATACCATGTTTATGGACTGAAACACTCATGTGACTCATGAACATGTGAACTCATGTTCAGATTGCATTTTTCCCTAAACTGATTTATAGAGTCAATAAAATCCCAATCAAAATTCTAACATGCTTTTTTTAAGAAAATTGATTAGCTGATATTAAATTTTATATGAAAAGGCAAAGCCAAAATAATTTTCAAAAATAAGATATTGGAGGAATTCCACTACCTGCTCTCAAAACTTACCATAGGGCTATAATAATCAAGACAATGTGATATTGGCATGAATAGACATATAGATCAATGGAACAGAATTGAGAGTTCACAACTAGATCCAGATTTATACAGATAATTGATTTTGGCAAAAGTATCAAGGCAATTCAATGGGAAAAGACAGTCTTTTCAATAAATGATGCTGGAATGGCTAGCTATATCTACAGAAAAAAATAAACTTCGACCCTGACCTCACACCATGCACAAAAATTCTAAATAGATAATAAACATAGAGCTAAAGTGATTAAAATTCTAGAGGAAAACATAGGAGAACATATTTGTGACATTGGGTTAGGCAAAGATTTCTTAGAACATAAAATGTAAGAACCATACAAAAAAACCTAATAAAATAGACTTCATCAAAATTAAAAACTTGCTTTTCTGAAGTCACAGTTAAGAAAACAAAAAGGCAAGCCACAGACCAGAATTTGCAAAACATATATTTGACAAAAATTTTGTAACCAGAATATATAAAGAACCCTTACAGCTCAATATTGACAAACAACCCAACTTAAAAATGGGCAAAAGATTTCAAAAAACACATTACAAAGCAAGATGTATAAGTGGCACATGAAAAGATCCATTACTAGTTATCACGGAAATGGAAATTAAAACCACAATGAGATAGCACTATCCACCCATGAGAAAGAATGGCTAAAATTAAAAACCCTGACAATACCAAGTGTTGGTGAAGATACATAACAATTTGAACTCTCAAACTGCTGTTGGGAATACAACATGGTGTAGCCACTCTGAAGAACAGTTTAACAGTTTCTTATCAAGTTAAATACACACTTGACCATACGACCCAGCAATCCCACTATTAGGTATTTACTCAAGATAAATGACATATGCCCACACAAAGATCTGTATGCAAATACTCACTGCAACATTATTCATCATAGCCAAAAATGAAAGAAACAACCGGAACTTCCATAACAGATGTATGGATAAATAAATTTTGATACATCTATACTATAGAATACTAGTCAGCAATAAAAAGGAGAAAAAGATTAGTATATGCAACAACACAGGTGAATCTCAAAAATATTCTAAGCAAAAGATGTCATACACAAAAGACTACATGCTGTTTGATTCTACTTATATGAAATCCCAGAAAAGGCAAAAACTACAGTCACATAAAGCAAATCAGTGATTGCCTGGAGCCAGGGCTTGAGGGAGAAGAAAGACTACAAAACAGAATGAGGAAACGTTTTAGGGTGATGGACATATTCTCTATCTTGACTGTGGTGGTAGTTATACATCTGTATACATTTATAAAAATTCATCAAACTGTACACTTAAAATGGGTGAATTTTATTGCATGTAAATTATAGCTCAATAAAACTGGGGAAAAATGCAAAAATATGAATAAGGGTACTTACAGGTCTCGCTTATTAAAGCAGAACAATACTCCCAAAAGGGTTGTCAATAGGAATGCTAAGCAAACAGGTACAACTATGGCTTCAATTTCTCCTTGAGCTAAAAAAACAGAAAAGAGTAAGAAGGAAAATAATTGTTGACACATACGTTAAAGAGAAATAATGCAACTTCCCAACCAGATTACTGTTGAAAAGATGAAATACTGTCTTAATTTTTTTTACAGTCTTTTCAAACTAAGTATTTTCCTCCCTCTGTTCTTGACAGATCATATCCTAGCCACTTATGCCTTACACAGTAAGGCCACAGAGTAAGCATACAATATTATGTTGGCTGGGGGAATAAAATTAGTTCAGTTGATTGGACAGATAATCCACCTGGTAAGTTAGAGCTTTCAAACTTAACCATTTATTACATTTATGATCTGCACTTGGCAGAATCTTAGCAAAAGCTTATCTTTGAGTTCTATGAGTATTGGGTAGAATTGCAAAAGCTCTAAAACAATCTTAGTAATTGAACTACAGGGGCCGGTCCCGTGGCTTAGCGGTTAAGTGCGTGCGCTCCGCTACTGGTGGCCCGGGTTCGGATCCCGGGAGCGCACCGATGCACCGCTTCTCCGGCCATGCTGAGGCCGCGTCCCACGTACAGCAACTAGAAGGCTGATCTTCCTCACAAAAAAAATAAAAATAAAAAAATAATTGAACTACAAATGTAACCTACAAGGAATAAAAATGTAACCTTTAGGAAAATTTTTAATAGTTATTAATAGTTATTTACTATTTTTAAAAATGATATATCTGATATAGGGCTAAGAATTTTAGGAGAATCTTAAATGGCACAAGGAGTGGCAGAAGCAGGAATATCATCATCTAAAAAGCAACAAGCCTGAGATTCCTAAATACCACATGAACCTCTATCTGCATTTAAAAGAGGGCTTATTGATCAAATGAATCCACTAAATTTATATTGGAGATTTTTTTTTTTGTGAGAAAGATCAGCCCTGAGCTAACATCCGTGCCAATCCTCCTCCTCTTTTTCCCCAAAGCCCCAGTAGATAGTTGTATGTCATAGTTGCACACCCTTCTAGTTGCTGCATGTGGGACGCGGCTTCAGCATGGCCAGAGAAGCGGTGCATCCGTGTGCACCCGGGGTCTGAACCCTGGGCTGCCAGTAGCGGAGCGTGCGCACTTAACTGCTAAGGCACAGGGCAGGCCCGGAGATATTTTTTAATGATTTACCTTATGGTTGTTTCCGGTTAACTCCTCTAGCCCCCTTTTAATTAGTCTTTTACAGCAAAAATGTATGAAAGTAATATTGCAGTCATATAATATTCACTAAGTCTTATCTCTTTATCACACATATCCCTTTGTAAGCAACTTTACATCCTACGAAACCCAGGAAATCAAGAAATCAGATCAACCCTTGGGAATAAACTATAGGTTGGCAAATATTAACTCTTGAATGCTAAGGTTCTCATACATATATACACCAAATCAAATTCAGGCAGAACCTTCCTTTTATTGCTGCTAAACTTCTGCTTATTATATTTTCATGCTTTGGACCTTTACTCATGCTGCTCTAAGATGGCTGCTTCTTCCTATCTGTCCACATCCTAACTTCAAGGGCTCAAGTATCTTTGCTCCACAAAACCTTTGTTGAAGGTAAAACTCCCCCCACCAATATCTTTGAATTCCTACTCTAATTACTGTCTAAATGGCCCAAATGGCTTTCCATTTGTTTTGTTTACTTATGCTGTATTTTTTCAACTAAGCTATAAGGTCCTTGGGAGCAAGGCCCATGCCACATGAAGAAACCATAATGAATCCATAAAATAGATAGGTCAGTGAAAAAAGCAGGTCATGAAGTAATACTACTAGGTATGATCTAATTTTGGAAAAAATGTATGCATAGAAAAGACTAGAAGGATATACAAACATGTTAAGAGATTATTTTAGATGAGGGATTAGGAATGATTTTTCTTCCTCTTTGTATTTTACTGTATAGTCTAAATTCCCTATAATGAACATTACTTTTATAATCAGGATAATATTTAAAAGTTTATTATTTTTACTTTTCTAAAGATCATGGCACAAAGTTTTATTTCAAATATTATTTGTTACATATATATTCTATTAACATGTCACCACAAATCTTATCCCAGAAACTATATTCACTATTGGCCATCACAGCAAAGCTGAGGATCTTTTATTACCTATTTTACGTAGTCACTCACCCATTTATTCTCATTCAACAATCATTCAACCAACAAGGAATATGGAGCTTACTATTTATTATTTACTGTGTTGGTACTTGGGGGTAGGGGTTACAAATACAATTACAGTAAAATAAGGTAATTTCTATAATGATTCAAAATGTAGTAAGAACAAAAAAGAATGCAGCTTAAGTCTGCCTTAGGGAGGCTACAGAAACAGCCAAAACAGAGAAGGTGAGAACCTAACCTAGAGCAACACACCAGGAAAAGACAGAAAAAGGTGGAGAAAATGATGAGAAGCTTAGGGTCAAAGAAAAAGATTATGAAAGGGCATAGACAAGTAGTAATTAGAAGGTATGATCAATAGGACTTGATACTTGGCTTATGTAAATGAAAAAGATACGAAGAAATTGCATCTACGTGTCTGGTTTTGGCAGAGTTGGATGGTTGCGGCATGGAACAAAGAAAGATAAATGTATTTGGGAAGGAAAGAGAGGATGGCTGAAGTCATAGACAGGGAGTTTGAATAGGCAGATAAGAAAATAGAGCCAAGAACAGAGCCCTGCAGAATACAAACAATTTACAAGCAGAGTGAAAAGGAAATCAAGAAGGAAGTACCAGAAAGGGAATAGACTCAGGAGAGTGCTATTAGAAAAACAAAGAGGGCCGGCCCCGTGGCTTGGTGGTTAAGTGCGCGCGCTCTGATGCTGGTGGCCTGGGTTCGGATCCCGGGTGCGCACCGAGGCACCACTTCTCCGTCCATCCTGAGGCCGAGTCCCACATACAGCAACTAGAAGGATGTGCAGCTATGACATACAACTATCTACTGGGGCTTTGGGGGGGAAAATAAATAAAATAAAATCTTTAAAAAAAAAAAGAAAAACAAAGAAAAGGTTAAAAGAACCAAGGTAAGAGGCAGTTTCAAGGATGGAGAGGCCAACAGAGTCAAAGACTGAGAAGTGTAGGAAAAAAAGATGAAGCCTAAAAAGCACGCATTGGATATGACAACTAAGAGGTCTTCTATGAGTGACACCAGAGAGGTGTCAGTGGACTGGTGGGCTGGAAGCCTGGTTTCAGGAGGTTAAAGACTGAGCTGGAGGTATGGAAGAGAGGAGACTGCAAGGGTGGACTAGTCTTTCCAGCAACCTGCCTAAAAAAGGAAGGAACAAGAGAAGAAGGAAAGAGACGACACCCAAGTTTTACCAGTGAAAAAATGAACCCATTTAGAAAGACATACAAATTCTTTTGGGATTTATAGAGTATAGGTGAAATTAGTCAGAAACAGTTAATGAAACTACAAAAAAGGTGAAGAAAAATATTTTCTATAGTTTAAAGGAACAACCAAAACCAGAAAAACAACAATATAACAATCATCATTTATTTATTAACACTTCATTTCTATGAACCCAAAGATGTACTTTTAATAAAATTTTAGCATATACACTAAGTCAGTATTAGTATGATTAAATTTTAAAAAGAAAGAAAGAGAAGAAAAGAAAGATCAAAAGTCATTATTTCTTACCAAACTTCGGTGTGGTAAAAGTGAATTCTGGCCCATCCTTTCCACCTTCGTCTGTGTACGCTGCCATTCGTACCATGTATAAAGTGTCACTAGTCAAAGAGGACAGTGTATATTCTGTGTGGGAAGAATCCACATTCACAGCTAGAAGAAATCAATAAGTGTGCTTTATTCAACTATTCAATGTTTTTGCTTCATTTGGCCTATATTTGACATTGTGAAAGCATTAAAAAAGGAATATAAATATAATTTATCAGAAAACAACTTTCATAACTCTGACAATATTATTCTATAAGTGCAACACAATATTTCTTTAACAGTACAACCATAAGGCATATTCTCAGGTGTCTCTTTTTGAGGATAATATACTATATAGTCATTGTCACTTAACAACAGGGATACATTCTGAGAAATGCATCATTAGGCGATTTCGTCGCCATGTGAACATCATTGAGTATACGTATACAAAGCTAAATGGTATAACCTACTACACACCTAGGCTACATGGTACTAATCTTACGGGACCACTGTTGTATGTGCGGTCTGTTGTTAACCAAAAACATCGTTATGTGGTGCATGACTATACTAAGATGCGTAACATAAGAAAATGAGACTTAAGTTAGTATTTAAAAACTTAAGGAAAAAAACATCTGATTCTTAATAACTGATATCGTTTTATTACCAGTTTCATTTCCAATGATAGTTCTATAAAATATAGTATAATTTCTGATAAATCCATTCTGAACATCCACAGGAAGTTGGTCCCACTCTAAGACAGCTTCATTTTTCCCCACTTTTTTTGTCCGAACAGTAGGTCCTTTGGAAGGTGCTGGAACAGAATAAAGGTATTTGCTAACTGAAAATCATTAGAATTTAGTAAAATTTTATCATGAAATTATTTGAACATAATGAGACATATTTTCATTTAAAGGGCTAAAATGTCTTTGTTAATACAAAACCCAACATTTTTCAAAGAAAGTGAGTTTGTACTTACGAGCTTGTTTAAGGTATGCCTTTATAGACTCAGGGCTTCCTGGTCCGTCAGCATATACTGGAGTAACTGTTATCAAATAACATTTGCTCTCTGCTAGGTTCCCTAAAGTAAGAATAGTAGATTAAGCGTCTTTTTTCCCTATAACAAAAAAGTCTAATTCCATTATTTATTTTTATATTATAATTTCATGATGATTGTACTTTTAACACTTCAGCTTTTTAAGCAAGCATCGCCTTTTGTGTACCAGACTCAAGCTTAATAAAGTAAAACTGTTAATAAAAGTAAAAGGTTACTTTTATTGCCAATACAGTGGATAAAAAAAAAATTTATATTGTCAATAAAAGTAACAATTGCGTTTATATTCAGGATTTACAAAACAGTGATCTCAAATTATCCTGGGTCTTACTTATAGTTTGACAATTTAGTACATCTTACTTAATTCTCTGAGGACTGCCTAATGAGCAAGCCACTATTAAGAGCTAGGGAAAGCACTAATGGCCCTGGTTTCTCAGGTGACTGGGAAAAAAAGAATTAGTGTTATTTCCCCCAGAAAGTCACACAATTTTAAAAGAAAAAATTATCTTTAATACTTCCTTTATTTATAATCTCTCCAAATTAACGAAGTAATCTATCTATTCCTTTAGCACACAACAGTAAAATTCTTCTTTTTCTACAGCATTTTATCTGTCCATATCAGAAAATAAGGTGTTTGTTATACTGAAGTTTATACTGTCAACAACAACTTGTATTTCCCTATTGTTCATGAAGTTACATATGCTCCTTTACCTTCTTACACAGAGTTATCTTTTCTTGATGACTCAATAATATCAAGAGGATGAATAATTTTTATATTCTGCTGTAACACAGCGATATTATCAGGGCTACTGAGCTATATGGGGCTACCTGTACAACCTGAAGGTCTCCAGAGCCTATGCTATGCTTTATTTAAAAAGTTTCTGGGCTGGCCCAGTGGTGTAGTGGTTAAGTCCAACGCGTTCTACTTCGGCAGCCTGGGTTTGTGGGTTTGGATCCTGGATGTGGACCTACACCACTTGTCAGCCATGCTGTGGCAGTGACCCACATACAAAATGGAGGAAGACTGGCACAGATGTTAGCTCAGGGTGACTCTTCCTCAAGGAAAAAAAAGAGGAAGATTGGCAACAGTTGTTAGCTCAGAGCAAATCTTCCTCAGCAAAATAAAAAAGTTTCTATTGTCCAGTTATTACTAATCTGTCTCCTCTCTAGCTCTAATCTGCTTTTAATTTGATAAGGTTGATAAACTAGAAACCAAGTTTATTAAAATTGTATATTAAATAATAGGTTAATGAGGGGCAAACAGCCTATTTTACGAATAAAGCTCACAAATTTTAATGCATGTATGTCTTTGCTTAGAGCTTTTCTCTGATTAATCGTATTATTTATAGCTGAATTCTAATGGTTATCCTTCTTTACTAAAAAAACACAGAAGCTGAGTGTTTTTGTTTTCTCTTTAAAGTTGTTATATCACTTTAAAGCCACTTAATTAGTACTATAAAACGCAGAGCAATCCACTTTGGAGCTCTATAATATCATTACTTTCTGTCCTTCATTAGTACTTTTAAATACATAGTACAACTAAGAGACATAAGAAAATCTGAGCTCTAGTTCTGCATCCCCTGTTCAACAGCTATAAGAAGTCAATAAGCATTGAGGGTATTATGCAAAGTGAAATAACTCAGATGGAGAAGGTCAAATACCGTATGATTTCCTTCATTAAGTAGTAGATAATAACAACAATAAACAAACACATAGAGACAGAGATTGGATTGGTGGTTACCAG